GCCACGCGCAGCCCCCGCGCCACGCAGCGGCCCAGCCACCGGACGCGGGGGTCCTGCGCCAGCAGCGCCGCCGCATCCTCCTCCTCCTCGGTGCCCTCCATGGTGCCCGTGTTTGCGGGGAGGAGCTGCCGTTGCCCAGGGACACCCAGGCCCAGCTCCTCCCTGCAGGACAACTCGGCTCCTGCCCGGTCATGGCAACCACTGTGACCCAGGCCGTAACCACCACCACGATCCAGCCAGTAGCTGTGCCTTCGGCCCTGGGGCTCTCCTGCTCTGGCWGCAAGAACTGCCAGCTCCCTGACACCCTACAGCAATCTGCTCATTAGCAATCAGGCTCATTAATTAACTTTGGGCTCGTTAATCTGCACTCTGCCTCTGTACCTAAGGCACACATGCTTTAAGCTACTCAACTCCAGCAAGTCACACCGCTCTGCAGAGAGCTCCTGCTTAAAAGCTGTGCCTCCCTATAACTCTGTGCTTTTTTCCTCTAGTGCTTCTACATCTATTTTTATTAAATCTTGCATTTTCTAATTTCTGCTCTGTTATAAAAGCTCCTTATTTGCTTTTATGGAAAGGCAGATACGTAGTCTGTGCAGTCCCATACCCACAGCGAATAAACATATCCTCTGGGCAGTTTAATAGCATCCTATCTGTACTTGCACAACAACAAGCACTTACACATCTTTAGTCACTGGTCCCAGTTCCCTGCCATCCCTAAAATTCAAGCACTTTCTTTTGGCAGTAACCTGCTGTGTCAATTACCCCACTGCCTCTTTAGACAAGCATAATATTAAAGCACAAGTTAATCTACAAAAGATGCTTTGGGACCAGTTTGCCTCTTCATTTGCTACTACTTTCTACCCTGAAGTTTCAAGTCTTTAATATGTGTTGGTATCATTTGTGCACAGCGCTTGGGGCCTCATGCCTTTAGGCTGCATCTTAAAATGAACTCCTTAATTGAAAGCAAAGGCAAAGTTCCCCATCTGCAAATACATCTGCAGTTACAACACTGGTAAGAGAGGAAGCAAGTCCCACAAGGCGCCTTGAAAACATGAGTTCTAACTGTGTATCTTGCCTGAGCCTTCTTAGCTCCTGTGTCCAGTACTGGGATCAGCTTGAATAGACATCAACTTGCATTGTGTGAGGAGCTTTAAGAGCACTGGTGCCTACTGGTAAAATAGCCTAAGCACAACAGTGCTCTAGTCTGGAGCCATCCAGCAGCACCCAACTGGTTATCATGTTCAACTGCCAGAAGTTGTCCTAGGGTAGTAGAAGTAGGCACAMAACAGTCAGAAAGGACATCAGGATCCAGCACAAGGGTGAGATCTTTGAGCCTTAGTCATGCACACAGAAACGTCTAAGAGAAACAACTCAGTCATTTGTTTGCTCTCAACTAAATCCTAATTAGCAAACTAGGCAAAATGCACACCCTGAAGAWGTTGACTCGTTTATTCAGATTCTGAAGGGAGGTTTTGGAAAACTGAGAAAATCAAAATAAAATGGGAGGAGAGCAGGATTAAGATCCTGATATTAATCAAAAGTTCTAAAGTCAATAAACTGGGTCCCACTTTATTGTGACATTTCTTCCTATAACCTGGGTTCTCATATCTAGTTGCATTCCAGATACCCAGAGATCTGCTCACATCATTCTGGAGAATCCACAACATCACAAGGGCTTCTCAAGCCTCATCTTTTGAAACCTTTAGAGGTCACAACTGCCATTGYCACATTACTAATAGTTTCCAGCATAAAAACAGAAATAAAACATTTCAGAAGGAATTTTGGGGGAAAAAAAAAAAAAAGGTATGTGGACTAGCAAGATCCAAAATGAAGAACTGCAGGGGTAGATAATGTTGCCAGGAGGACTTGCGCTGCTTACACCATGCTTGGTAGATTCAGCCCACAAGAATCCACCAATGACCAAGCAAACCCAGACACTGAACTTCAAGGCCAGCCCTTTTCCACGGTACTCGCGGGCAGTCCTTGGCACTGCACGCTCCCGAGGCTCGGAGAGCCCAGGACATTTCATAGGGCATAGTGCCTTCTTGACATTGTTTCAGTTCACCGTTTTAAGCTTCTTGYTTGGTACTTCCTGGTGGTTCTTAGCTTGTTTCCTTTTTTGGCTTGGTGTTTCTTCATTCTCACTATCAGTCAGTTTGTCCAAGACTAGAGAGGCCTCCTTCAGAAGGCGCAGCTCCCGTTTTTCCTTCCTCTCCTCCATTTCTACAATGTCATCTGCGAACAAAGCCTTCAGAGGTCGGATCAACTTTGGAATGACTGCAAAGTCACCAAACCGYACCTGAAATACATTAAGCACAGAAGCACTTACTTGAGAACTGCTTGTTCCCACTCTCCTGTCTTGTCTTTTGCCCATTCAGATGGCAAGATACTGCTTCTTCCCCTGTACAGCACCCACACAGCACAACACAATGCATACCTGCACCTGTGTACTGCGCAGCCCAAACATTAGCAAAGGCTTATAATGCATTTACAAGGTGCATTTACACTCTCAGCGGTGCAGCAGACAATTCACAGACCCCACAGGCTAAGCTATTTAAATGTCCTTGAAAAGGATGCGTGTACATGATAAGTTTTAACTGACTAGCGAGCAATCATCACTAGCACTGCTGTGCTCAGTACAGTGACTGCACTACCAGTTTTTGGTTCCTGGATATCTCACTATATTGCAGAAAGCCATTAAAGGAGCACAGCAATTAAGAAGTAAGAACAGAAGCAAAATTATGTTTTCAATTAGGAGTAGTGTGCAGAAAATAGAAGAGAATTTGGGCAGGCACCCAGTATCTAAGAGTGAAATTCTGTTCTCAGGAGGCATCAGCACCCATCTAGGTGGTGAACTGCTCTGTCCTCATTCTCTTCCATGTTGATGTCTGCTGCCAGGAAAAAAACAGCTGTTTCACAAAACCTACTCTCAGAAGAGTGTACTGTCACAACATTAAAAATGGAGGAATTTGTGTGTGCAGTCATATCCAGGCAGCACTGAAACCCTTCCACAGAATCTTGATCAAAGCTCCCAACTTACTCTCATATGATCAAATGCAATTCCAACTTTCTCACTGAAGTCTTCACTGAATAGTGGAATCTTGGCATATCTCTGACTGAAGTGGTTGAGCATGATAAACTCAGCATTCATCTTCATCCCTGTCTGAATTGCCTGGGAGGTTGTGCTGCAAAATAAAGAACTTCACACCATGTACATCAGCAGAATTTATTGTCTCGGGGGYGCCAGTGAGTCTAATACACACTTTAACTCTCAGGTCTCCTCACGTTTGCTAAGGGTAGCACTCAGTAACACTAGCTTGTGCTTGCTTTGAACTGTGCACTCAGCAATCAGGGGTGCACAAGTAGGTTACCTCCTGTGCATAGTCCTGAAATGTAATGAAGCAGTGGGCTCTCTTCTAGGCCAGTCTACTTGTAGAGCTGCAATTCACCAAGTAACAGCTCTAAGTTTTCCCGTGGGTCCATTCAGAAGAGCGTTACAGAGCTGGTGCAACAAGCAGCACTGAGCCCTCACCACCTATTCCAAGAGCATCCCTGCCTCCCAATGGTAAAAAACGGCACAAACCACCCTACCTGTGTGTTTTCTCTATGGCTTCTTTTTCCATGCCATCCTCTAGTGTTGCTTCATGGATCAGTAGCGTAGCATCTTTTCCTGTATAAATAATCAAATACTCAGCCTTTGTAGTGGTGGGCATAACATGGGACTGGATAGAGCAGACCCAAAGACCTTCTCTGTACCACAGAGACATGGGTGCTGCTATCTGCATGTTCACTAGACAGCAGTAACATGAACTATAGCTTGAGTAAGTCTGCCCTTAAGTACATGAACTCTATTCCCACCCTTCCTACTCACTGTAGCAGCAATACCAAGGGTTCAGATGTACTTGTTTCACCTACTAACAGTTAAACTTTTTGCAAAAGGATTCTTCAAATACCTACCCATTTTTACTAAGGCCATGCAGGGCATTGTGTCTCCAGAATAGACTACTTTCCAGCCAGATTTGTGGACTATTGAACAAGCAAAAGCATTTTTGCAGTGCTGGACTTCACAAGTCTGAAACTGAACAAGAACACAAGTGTTAGACCTCAAGTCTGCCTTTTGCCTCTTACAGCATCTGGCACTGCTTGTGAGCTTACCTCAGCCAGGTCATAGCTCTCCAAAAGAGAGYTGACAAACTTGGCTTTAGGTCTGATATTCTCATAGCCCTTCACAAGAGACTGGGAGGGAATCATTCTGTGAGAGAGGGGAAAACGGTAAACTAAGGACATGTAAAAAATAAAATGTGATCCTATCTGTAAGCAGCCCGTTTCTCRGGGCATGCATGACCTAAATGGTCATTCACGCCTCCTCAGTTCCTCACGCCTTACAAAACTATTTGTGCATTCAACTAGTTTTCCCTTTACTTTTACTATCCAGTGCCCCAGTAACTCAGTCAAACACTGCTCCACTGTTAAATACTCTTCCCAGGGGGAAATTTTCTYCCCTTGCCCAAATCCTTTTTCCATAGAAGCAGAGCAACTGAGTAACAAATCCTATGCCCTCCTTTGCCAATTACACACCACAGGTTTAAACACAATGGAAAGAGTCCCAGCAGCCTTCAACTAAGAGGCAACGTGACAGCAGTTTGTCTTGACTACAGACACACCAAGGGTATGGCCTAACATACCACTCAGAACTCACTTAATGTCTTCAAGAATTTCTTCACAGTGGTTGTGGTACTCATGTAGCCAAGGCATGATCTGTTCAGGTGCTACCAGAAACAGAGGGCTAAATACCTGACCAAGCGATGCCTGGAAAAGCAAAGATGGGAGAAATCAGTACTGGGGGTACATTAAATGTGAGAGAGGGAATGCTTGGGGGGAAAAACGGTGCTTCACCACTGTGCTCAGGAGAAGCCCCTTTCTTCTATTAACACTAAGGCAAAATCAGAAGCAGTGAACCAATACTACTTACAAGAGCTCTCCGCCTCTGCATCAGGATGTTCATCAAACCCTGTAAAGAGGGACAAAAGAAAAAAAAAAAACACACTAGCAAGTTGTAATCAGATACTTCTGAATCAATAATTACACTTCGCTGAGCTGCTGTGACACTGTCACTATTTAACCTTGAGTCAGTGGCCAGTACAACTCTCAACCCTCTCCAGTGCTACTGCAACTGCTTCCAAAAGAAGAGTGAAGAAAATTTTTATTCAACTTCCCAGGCCCAATATGGTTCTCAGACACAAGAGAGCAGCCTACCCTGGTCAGGCCCTATTCAGAATAAGCTAATTGTGCCTTCTGGGGCAACTTATTACAGGTGCTATTGGGGAGCCAGGCTGGACACTGCTGGATAACGATGCCTCCAGATGACCCTGGAAACCCTGCAGGGTCCACCAGGAGGAAAGCACACTAAGATAAGAGAGCATCTAGAGAAWGCAGAGGTGAGCCACAGCCCTATCAGCAGGGCAGCCTACACCTATCAGCTGCAGTTGTATCTAAATCCCAAATAACAGAGCAGACCATGAGCAGATCTCCTTCTCCTTCCAGTCTTACCGAGTGATGATCAGTATGCATGTGAGAAACAAACACAGCCGCTAAGTTACACAACACTTGGTCAATTTGCTCTCCATAGTGACGACATAGCTGTCCAAACGTTCCTTCCCCACAGTCCAAGAGCACAGATCGGGTAGAGCTGGCAAGACAAACAACAAAGATGTTTGGTGGCATCTGGAGGAGCCATGACCCAGGCGCATTCAGGGAGACGGACATCCTAGGTTGGCAGAAGAGGGCAGAGRGCTCTCAGTGCTCTACCTCTAATGCCACTCTAGTCCTACTAGCAGGGGCTTTAGAGAGACTGTTGCCTGCATTGCTCATTCTGGTCTTTTCTTGATGCTGAATGCACCCTTAGCACAGACAGTAAAAATCAATGAAAATATTAAATGTTTGTCTTCTACAAGAAGCTCTCAAGTTTTTCCCACCTATAGAGAGACAGGTATCTGAAACTGAAGCCCTATGGACTCCAAGATGGGGCACTTTCACTGTATCATCACCACAATAAGTTAAAAGAGGCCTTGATCCGGATCCTCTTGAGATACTCAACCTCTTTGAGGAGAATGCACATCACATTAGGATTTACCTAATATTTACCAATGTGGAACTGACATTTCGGATTTTCATTGGAATTGCAGAACCTGTTCCCAAGAACACAATTTCTGGATAAGCATCCACATTTCCTAGAGAAAGTGGAAAAYAATAATTTGTAAGGAAAATGCTACTTTCACATCGCCCATTCAGACACTTCTGGAAATACCAGAGACTACACTTCTGGCACATCTATTACTGCTTTCCTCAATCTTTAGTTTTCTCAGAGCAGCAAGATTTACTAAAGGAAGCTAGAAGATTCTTGCTGCAGCTGCTAAAAGAGCATTCAATACAGTCATGCTCTGCTCCCCACACAGGCAACATATAGAGACAGTTTAGACACAAAGCACCCAACAGTACTCAATCCCAATCTCAGTAGCTTTGAAAAACCAGCAGCACAGAACTAAGCTTCAACTGAAGGGAGCCATCCTAGTCTATGGGTAGCCCCTTATCCACACAGCTCCAAGAGAAGTTAAGGACACCTCTGARGCAGCAGGAAGATTTCACATTCGTAGCTTTTCCTGAGTTCTWGAATATTCAGTCACCAAAATCTCATATTTCGCATCAACTCTGAACCAGGACAAGTTGCTAATCTTTACCTGGGACAGCAGACAGGCTTTCTTTGCACTCCTTCACACGATCCTGGAAGTCAGGAAGATCTAGGGCTTCACTTACAAATGCATCATGATCACAGACAGTCACAGCATCCCTGAAAGAACACAACACAGGATAGGGTAGAAAACTGAAAAAAAAAAAATGGAGTAAAGTGCCAAATTACAACTAAGTAGCCTTACAACAAAAGATCAAATACTTCTTCCCAGCTCTGTCATGTGGTATGGTCCAGAACCTGGCCAAATGGTGCCACACAACAATAATTTTGACTCCACCAAAAGAGTGGAGCAAAGACAGCTCCTGAAAATCACTATGTTCAGCAGTGCTGACCTGATCAGAGAGCATCTAGACACCAGAGGGCACTGCAAGGCCCTGCATGGGAAGCARCAAGACTCCTGAAAGAGAAACAGTCACCAGGAGGAGTTCCAGGCATAGTGTCCTGCCCCTGGTCCTGCTTCAGAGCATGAGCCTCTAGACACCCCTACAGGCCTCTAGGTACTATTAAGAGAGAAACTCTGGCTCTTGGTGTCTCAGTTCTCCTACTCCAGCCGAGATCCAGAAAACAGGCCAACTCTTACAGCTGGGAAGCCAAGAACATTCCCACTGACCTCTGCCATTCCTGTTTGGGTCTGAAGTGGTACTTCAGGAGGCATTCTCCTCGGACAACAGGCACACTACAGGCAGCATCTTCTTCCTACAGAGGAAAGAATGATGTTATAGGAATGATGTTATAAAGGTCTTCATATGCACTGTGCCTGTGTATGCACTGAACTCAGGAGTGTGAGGTGCACAGGCAAGCAAGGTCTCCTCTACCTTGCTCTGATAGCTGGTGAGCAGAGGGAAGATCTCTGGGTGGATAAGGTTCAGTTGGGTTTGGATCTTGTAGCTACGTGGATTATGCACTGCAGCAGAGTTTTCATTGAGTACCAAGTGTTGTGTTCCATGGCCAAATCTAGGAGAGGAAGACAAAATGTTTAACAGTTTCAGTCCCACACTAGGGTCAGGCACCCAAAGGCCRAAAGTAAGCTTTCAACCAGATCCCTGCTACCCCAACAGCTATTCCTATCATAGAAAAAGGCTCTCTACTCTAAGAACAATCAGCTGCTCAGCAAAGGCAGAACCATGTATGAGAAGACCACATACCTTTCCAACCACTGCTGGTAGCGACTGTCCCGAAGCACTGACTCTGGAGTCATGTGAATGACTAAGGCTACCTGGTTTTCAGGAAGTCCTTCCTGATACCTAGAAGAGCATTCAAATACGGTGAGAAAAAYATAAGCTTTGGTCCTTTATCACCCTGGCGCTCTGAAGTGCCACCACCAACAGATTCACTTCTGTCAGAAGCAGGCAGGGCACAATGCAGACGTGCCAGGCTTCACTTTGTAGTGRACCTTTAGTAGCATGAGGCTCAAGCCAGGTATTTCTTCCCACCTCCACTCTCCTACCTGGAGCAGCCCCTCTCCAAGARCACCAACATGTTCAGAGCCTTTCAGAAGCCTAACACATATCTATAAGTCCACATAGACACTTCATGCAATTTAGACACCTAGGTTCATCACACAAAGGTACGGCAGTCCCTCTGACACCCCTCAGCAATACATCATACTGCACCTTATCTTCCCTGAAGGTTCTAAGATAGGCCTGACATGGTTACAGACCATCCTAGGCCCTGCACAGCCCTTCCTTTTTTAAAAGATTCCCAAAAGCACCTACAGTCCTTTTTTCTATCACTAGCTCCTTAGCAGTGCAACATAGCTCAAACTACAGTCACAGAAATGGACACATCTCAACTAGGACAAGAATTTCCTGTTGGTGAAGCTTGGCATCATCCAKCTCTTCCTCACCAGGCAGCTCCCTACCTTTGGAAGGTTTCGTTTTCACAGACAGCATCCACAAAGCCCTCGTGGGGACATTCCAGTACAATGAACACTGGGCCAGGATCAGTAGGGGTACACAGTTCTTCAGGCAAGAGCTGCAGAGAGATGCACAGAAATCACCCCATGTTCAGACCTCACACAGGGCCTTTCTTGCAACTTTATATCAGACTCAGTAGCTGTATGGGCAGCAAAGCCCCAGCAGGCTGCTGGGACCTGCAGAAGCAGCTCACAGCAAGCTTATTTGATGCTCAGCAAATCCAACCAATGCAGTTCTTGTTCCCATTCTGCCCTCCCAGTACATAAGTTTGCATTTCGCTGTATCACCACACGCTAAATCCCAAGCCTGGCATGTTTTAGAACACACAACTAAGCAACAATTTGCCACCAGGAAATGAATTTAAGCAGCTTCTCAGTCCCCACAGTAGACCTGGAGACCAGTAACAGCTTGTCTGAGAAGGGCAGCTCTGTGAAAGACCTATGGCACAGAGGTAAGTCAGTCCTATTTCTCAGGTTAGGATTTTCCGTTAAGGACAGGACTGGGAAAGGACAGGGCTGGCAGTGCCTTTAGCCTCAGTCTAGAGTCTGAGATTAAGCCTTGTTTCTCCTTCACAGGGGAATCATTTAACTTCCTCATACTTGGTGTTAGTAGTGCAAACAGAGTAAGGAAGGAGCAATGGCTACGCTAGCAACCAGACTCCAAATCCAAAACAGGCAGGAATCAACTTTACTAATTCCTTCCTAAATCTGAATTAGTTCTGGGGGCTTGGGAAGGGGACAGGAGGAAGCACAAATTGTAGACATGTATGGCCATTAGCGAACATCACCTTTCAGAGTGTACTTCCCTAATCATCCTCTGCAACAGTCCCAAACAGATGATATCCGATGGGATATCATCTTGAGTAACTTTGAGTAACTCCCATGGGCCTAAGCCTGGGCCTTAGTATCCACAGCATTCTGCACAGTTTCTATACTTCCACCTTCCCTGGGCCCCCAAGTTGATGCAAACCCACAGCAGAAGACACAGATGGATCTTACCTCCCTGCCTTCAAAAGTGATGCTCTCCCCATTCTTTAGAGCTGTGATTATGGGTAGAATAGCTGGAGTTCCCCTGAAAGCAAAGTCATTGAAATATTTAGCCTAGCAATATCAACATGACTGGAGCTGTCTCAACCCCCAGACTTGGCCCCTGTACTTACACCGGCAGGCCTAGCTCCTGTGCTTTAGTTACTAAGAATTTTCCTTTCTTTGGGTGAATCTGAAATAATCAAGCAGACAAAAAGCGTTAAGCATGGTCAGCAAATCCATACATCACACTACTAGYTCAGGGCATTTTTTTCTTTCCCTTCAACATCAGATGCTGTGTAAACMAAATACTCTCCCCACTATGTAACTGACCTGGAGGATCTCTAGAAAAATTCACAATCATAGAGGGTACACAGTAAATCGTCAACAACCATTCTTCTTCTAGACAAGGTGGACAAAGTAGTTTTCTATTATTTTCTACTTTTTCTACTATTCAACAGCCACTAGTCAACATTACTGCCAAAAAGTTTTCAACAGTCCCTCTGGTTTCTAAAATCATACTGCTGCCTCTTGCTTTTCTTTAATCAAGCAAGCAACACAGAATTTTCTAGTAGCAGCAAGCATGAATGGAATCTGTCTATTCTTAATTTTAAGTTCATAAAGAGCATTTGCTAGAAGTTTCTTTAGTCCCTACAGGTTCCTATTCCTATTTCATCTTGTCTGTCCTTTATACTTAAGAACAGTATTAAGTTCTGCTTGAAAATGCCATCTCCAATCAAATGTATTCAACATGACAAAATTAGAGACCACTGTGGCCAATCTTACTTTACAGAGGAAAGCCATGACCATATCAGGCTGCCTACCACTCTTCTCTGTATCACCTGTAAAAGAAAGAGAGATTACTCAGGATCATCACAGATTCACCTCCTGAAGGCCAAAGTGCTTCAACATTTGCTAAAGTATTTACAGAAAGAGCAGCATCCTTACCATTCAGGCAACTCAGAGGCCAGCAACAAAATGTCCCAAAAAACCTAAGCCTAAAGAGCCCAGTTTCGGCTATTATAAACCAAATTAAAGCCCAAGACTGAAAAATAAATCAACCCCAATGTCTACAYGCAAATAAAATTGCAAAAAGCTGTTTAAACTGCAAAAACACAGATTAATCACACCCCAAGCAGGAATCACGTCCTGTTCCAGGACTTGTCTCAGTTTCTAAACTAACAGAGTCTGTTCTGTTCCATATAAATCCTTTAGTTTGAGGATACCTACATATCTCACATCCACAGTGAAAGACTGAAGCACAAACACACATGCTTCATCTTCTTTTTCACAAAGTCGAAATAAGAACATTTTTTTTTTCACCTGTTTTTCTGGAGAGTTCTTTTTCCTTGCTCTCCATTGGACTTTGCTGTGCAGCTTTTGGGGAACCAGGCCTTGGACTATATTTGGGGCTATTTCCACCCTGGGCTGACGTTCCGGGACTCTTAGGCAACATGGTTTCAGCAGCCAGTGGCTTTCCTGTCCCAAATCCAAGAAAACCAGATAAACTCACACAGAGACAAAAGAAGCACTAGATCATATCTTCTTCTGCAACAGTCATATTTAAATTGCCCCAGAACAAAGAACTCTTCTCCCAATCCAACCTGCATATGATATCCACCTCTTGCCCTTCAGATCAGTCCTCGAGATTCTCCTAAAGAGCTAGACTCTGGCAGGTGTATGCTAGTACCCCAGGTTTTGGGGATTTCAGCATTTAAAAAAATGGAGCTGTTAAAAAAGACCTCATTCTATATATTATTCTAAATACCCACATCACAAGGAAGAAAGTAAGGCCCTGGCTCAGCATATCTTCTTTCTTTGAATGAGATTCATGTGCTGAGAACAAACATACAAATCCCTAAACCTCTCCCTCCTTGGGCTYACAAACAGAAGCCACTCCAACAATTACGTTTAATCATGACTTTTAAATACGTGCTTCTCCTCCGCGAGTCCAGCTTCACATACTCACCTATAAGAGGTATTTGGTGGACTGTCATTGTCTCATCCTTATACTCAGGTTCTGTGTGCAACTGTACAGCTTGAAAGAGACAATAAAAGTACGCATTAACAAGATAATATGAAGTTCAAACTCTAGAAGAAATCAAGAAATCAGAAGATGTTTTTCCTCCCTCAAAAAAAAACTGCTAGAGAGACACCCATAACTGAAAGGAATGAACAAAGTTCTCAAAAGTCCACCATCCATAACACACAGCCCACAAATCACAGTGAGGAGTTTCACTAGCAGTTCACACAGGAATTTTTACTTTTCAAGATGAATGATGCTTACTAGTCAGACTGACAGCTACCTCCCAGAAATACTGCTGGAAACACTGATCTTTTTTCTTGCAGGAAGTTCTTGCGATGGACTTCAACATCAAATGGGATCACAGAAWCACAGAATAGTTAAGGTTGGAAGGGACCTCTAGAGATCATCCAGTCCAACCTCCCCCTGCCACAGGCACACCTAGAGCACAGGGTGGCATCCAGGTGGGTTTTGAAGATCTCCAGAGAAGGAGACTCCACAACCTCCCTGGGCAACCCAATCCAGGGCTCTGTCACCCTCACAGTAAAGAAGTTCTTCCAGCTTCTTTGGAACAAAACACAATGTGTCAAAACTTTCTTCAAAGGGATCTAAACAGAGCCATTCTTTTCTGAAATGACTTCAGCTCAATCCAATTTTATTACAAGTTCATATTTAATTACAAATCACTGAWGTACATACCTAAGTCCATTCTCTTTAAAGGTCCAGGAAATAGTCGAATGGCTTTCAAGTAGTTTTGCTGGAAAAGAGACAGTGTTTTGGGAAGCCACCCCTCAAAGTGGTGTAAAATGCAAGCATCGTTTTCAAAGGTGAAGTTACAACTTTCTTCCACTAAAGTACCATCAAATATTGAACTCTTAGTCCAGAGAAGTTTGGACACCACACAGCTAGAAAGCAGCTGGGCAGGTGTCTCACATACATCACTCACCACCCATCTGCAAAGGGAACAGAAAAATGAAGGTGGAAAATCCATCCTCCAGCCACTCTAAGGCATACTATTGTTTCAGGGTAAATATCCAGCAGATACCACAATGCAGTAAAGCCACTTTGTGGATTGGCAGCTCTTCACCTAGCTGTGGCATTAGGCTGGCAAGCACTGCCTTGAGCATGTTTCTATTAAAAGAATTTGTGTACAGGGAAAGCAGGGGAGAAAAAAAATTCTTTCTAGAAAATGWTTTACTAGGAATTTAGCTGACAAGGCAGTTTCAAAGAGCAGAAGTGTGACACTGTCCTTTGTAATTAGACAGACTTACTTTGTAAAGCCAGTCCTTCAGACGGAACCAAAGAGACGAGCACTAACTCAAACCAACATCTTATACCTGCGAGATGATTCACTGCCTTGACACTAACTTCCCAAACGCAAGGTAAGCTTTGATGTTTGGAAGATTCCCTCCAGCTTCTGCAAGCTTCCAGTACTTACCAGCTTTGGTGGCCCTAAGAAAACACATCTTTGAAGCCCCATAGCCTTTAATGTGAGAATCATGCCTAAAACAAAGCAAAGCAAAGAGCTTTATCACAGGCCCACAGGCCTTTGCTGACTCAGGCAAGAAAGATCCCTCCCTCTGCCAAACAGTGACTCGCCTCGTTGCGAAGATCAGGCCTGAATTCAGAACTAAATTCAAATTTGCTTTGGCTTTGTGGCAGTCTCAACAAGCCACTTATCTCCACGTAACTTCATAGTCYGAACTATACTGCCCGGTCTCTTTTCCATCTTGTTCCTCAGTGTAAGCGCAAARCTCATCCAGACACCTCTGGGGGTCCCTTCCCACTGAACTACCCTGGCTCACAGCAGCCTCCAAAGTACCAAAGCAGGAATAACGATGCTGCTGCCCTGGAGCACACGGGGATGATACAGCCACGTGCACCGCCGGGCAGCACCTCTCCCACCACCCACGTGCTGCGTGCGACAGCACAGCCCCCGGGGCTGCACAGCCCCACGCGCTGCCTCGCGCCCTCAGGGGCTGCTCCTCTCTACACCTCCACGGGAGCGAGCCAAGCGCCACTGCGGTCACGCAGCCCCTCCGGCCTGGGGCAGGCGGCTCTGATGAGTAAGGACTGATCTGGCGGCCACGGGGCTCCCAGGCAGCCGCCCTGCTCACCTGGCAGCCCCCCGACGTTGGCCCAGGCCACGCGGCTGAGGAAGATGCTGTCCAAGTGCGAGATCTTCAGCCTGCGGAGGAAGAGCGGGAGCAGCGCGGGATGAAGCGGGTCCCGGATGGGGAGGGGGGGTCCCGGTGCCCCACACTCACTTGTGCTCCTGCATGGCCCGCTGCGTGCCCTCGCCGCAGTTGAACAGGTACCTGCGGGGAACGGAGGGTGAGGCCRGGCGCGGAGGGGCTGCGCTGCCGCCCCGGCCGCGGCTCCGCGCTCACCGGTTGAACTCGGAGAACACGTAGACGGCGGCGCCCGCGTCGCGGCTCCCGGCCGCCACCACCTGCGCGTAGACGGTGTTGGGCCCGGCCAGGCCGGCGCCCGCGCTGCGCCGCCGCTCGCGGGCCCACACGTGCCGGGGAACGTCCTTGGGCCGCCGCGCGGGCCGCGCCGCCGCCGCCGCCGCCTCCGCCATGGCGCGGCCCCGCGCGAGCCCCGCGCCCAGCGCGCGCGCCCACATCCCGCCCACCCCCCGCCAGCACCGCCCCCGCCGCCGCCCGCCGCCAATAGGCGCGCGGCGCCGCCCGCGTCCCTCGCCTTATGATGCGCGCGAGCCAATGAGAAGCGAGCTCCGTGAGAAGGCGAGCCAATGAGAAGCGACMCGGCCGCGTGAGTGGGGTGTGCGGGCAAGGGGGATTGTGGGTGCGGGATGACGTTTCCCCTCATGTGTCTGAATTTCGTCCAATGGCGCCTGCAGGGGTCACGCTAAGCACCGCCCCCTGCCCACGGCAGCCTAGCAACGGGGGGGGGGGGCAACCCCCCACACTTGGTGAGGCTGGTGGCTAGACGCCCTCTAAGCTCCGCTCAGCCTGGCCCAGCCCAAAACGAACTTAAAATCCCTCCTGACTCCCCGCAGTAGTTCAAGATAGCAAGGACTTTCTTTTGTCATTATTTCCCCCCTACGCTCCCATATGAAGTAAAAATACCATTCTTTTGAATAGCAAACTCCCTGTTCATGCCCATTTTCCACGTTACRCTCCTTCGGCTTAACGCTTCCTAATGTCTAACACTTGTTACCGCCTCCTGTGGCCAGGCAGGAAGGGTAACATCAGTTTAGATCTCAAATGGCATCCCAAGCACAACCCTGGGAGATTTCCTAAAGCTGTGAGCTGTATCTGTGCGTTCCTTCAGCTGCACCATTTCCTCACCGTGCCAATGATTTTCTGCAATTAGAAACTATGGAAACATTTTCAGTGTTCCTAATACACTTTTTTTCACCATTGGAAGCACCACAAAGCTTTGCTGGGGATCTAACCAGCTGGCATGGGATTTTCAACCCRTGTTTATGAAATAACTAAATGATAGTGTGTGTTTTTTTATAGTTTAATGAATCTTTGCACTTTTGTCCACCATTTTTTTTTTATGTGCTTAGTTCAGTATTTGGATCTGTGACCACTAAAATCAGTGGAATTCTGTAAAGTTACAAAACTATCTTTAATATCTTGACAGTCATAAAAGGATTTCACAGAAAGCGGTCAAAAAACCCTGAATCRTATCTGAAGTTCGTGTCAGTGAAGGCATGCAAATGTCCTTTGACAACATATCTGTGTACAGGGACTGAATGAAATGTAGAGAAATGGACTTTCACCCTTCAAGCCTCCTTTGCATGTCAGAGGTGCTGCTCTGAAATGTCGTGCAGCTCCTTAAAATTATGAAGCAGGCTGTCTTACAGCATTTGTGTGTGTCTTGTGCGTTTTTCCCCCTAATGCTTCATCTTTCCAGCTTGTGAAGGTCACATGCAGTAATCAGCTCCAGCGTAAAGAGTCATTACGGAACTAGCATTGCCTGAAGGTTGCAGGGAAATGTGCCCCATCTGGTCCATTACGCTTAAATAACACACAGTAATGCAGAGTTTGCTTAACTAATTCAACCAAAGCAATAACATCAGCCATGTCATGCAAGAAATTCAGAAATAATGGACAAGGGAGGATGTTTATTCCCGAGACTTCTCCCTAGACACTTGGTCTTTTTTTTTTTTTGCTTACATAGGGATGTATATTTTACAGAATATCAATTGTCCTCTTTAGTTTTGAATTTTATTAAATGGGCAGATTTATTATGACATATGGTCGTCTTGTCCTATTGTCAATAAGTATCAAAAGATAYCATTTCCCAGAGCAAAGGAGCCCTTAGTGGCCTCCAGTCCGGGACCTGAAATGCCTTTCACTTATTAAAACATGTGTGATCTTTTTTTTTTTAACTTTCTTTGCTCTTGAATAATCTCAGCTAGCCCAAGGTGAGCTTGGGCTCACACATTAGTATTAAAGAACTCTCCTTTTTTCTTCCTCAATGATGAAAATCACCTCATAGCAGCCTCCAACTTGCAAGGAAGAGGAGCTTTGCCAGCTGCCTGTCAAACCTATAGTGCTGCTGGCCAGTAAAATGGAGTAGCAAGCAGCATTACCTACAACCCAGGAGACAGCAAGAGCGTCTGGCTGCTTTTACCTTGATGGTTATAAATAAACCTTAGAGTAAGAGGGATACAGGGAAAGAAGCCATCACATGGAGCCCTCCGGGCACTAGCTGAGCTCTGTGACTGAGCCAGTTCATGGACGTGGAGCCTGAACTTGATTTAGCTCTTCACCAGTCTCGCTGGGGAAAAGGAGCACTGCACTCCAGGATATTACTTTACTGATGCTCAGTAGGGCTCTTCAGCCAATAGCAAGCGCTGCCTGGGCTAGAATGAAGAGTCTAAGCAAATATTTGCAAAAAGAAAATAAATCTTCAGAGAAAACACACAAATGAGGACATGCACTCTTGCTGTGGCTAAGTAACCTATGGAGTTATTCAGCGTAACAGCAATAGCGTGCCCAGGGTTTGCCTTACACGGGGCAACCGACTCTATTTGTGGAGCAGGAGAAAGGCTGGAGATTCCCTGAAAAAAAATGCTTCTCCCTGCCTGCATCCTACAAAACAACAAACACACCATAGAAACTTTCCACATGACAGTGAATTGAAAAAGGGCCAACATTAGAGCCACATGAACACCATCCTTGGGGCCAAGCTTAGAGCTTAAAGGACTTCACAAATATACTATAACGTTAGTCTACAGTGCAAACGCTGTGGATGTGACCACCAGCTCACACAGTACTGCAGCAATATTTGCCAGAAACCAAGAGAATCCAGAAGGAGAAATCAGTTCAATTTGACAATATCCATTTTGCTGTGAAAATGGCATTTGAGCTGAAGTAATTGATGAAATTACCTCAAGACATGAATTTTTAGGAAGTTTATCCCCTTGATCAGTGACATCTAGCTGAGGAAGGCATATTTCTGGCTGACAAATGAAAATGAACATACCTGATTTGGGCAGGGGAGATTTTATGAAACTGGGCACTGCAGGGGTTGCCTTAGCAGATTAAACCTTTAAAGACAAACAAAATAAATAGACATAAGCAGCTAATGGGGAAAGGGAGACCAAATTCTTGGACCACAGATATACATGAATTTGGAAGGATTTTAGGGAACAAAGGCTAATAGCAAAGTATTATGTAGGGAGTTCCATTAAAAGAGAGTTTACGTTTCTTACCCTTAAATCTCATCAAGAACCCCCTAATCCTGCCTTTACCAGAAGAGTGGATGTATGGATATATCTGACCCCTGCATAGCAAAGTGTCTATCTTCCAGTCATCTGCCTGTCGGAGGTATTACTTTAGCACTTTCAATGCAAATAAAGCAAACATCCAGCACGTATCTACAGGGACTGTTGATTATTTTCAATTCTGACAGTCAAAGTATAAATTAAATCAATTCCTGCAGGTCTGAGCAGGACCAGCTCAGGATCCTCTCTGCTGATTTCTCCTTATCTGCCCTCCATGGCACATGAAAACCCAGACAGCATCATTTAACTGATTTTGTCCCAGGTTTTAAGGGAGTTGCCAAACCACAGTTCAGCAGCATATGAGAGAAAAGCCTGTAGAGGGGCGGGTATCAGAAATAAGGTTGAACACAGGAAATTCACTGTGCAGTATACACTAAGGAAAGCCAAACATCTGGGAATACAAGAACACACAGGCAGAGCATACTACCAGCCTCAGCTTCAGACTCACATGGACCCTCCTTCTCTTACCTGGCAGATTCCTGGCAGACTTTGAACCTAATTCCTACAACCCTTGGTAGATTCAGAGTCCTCCTGTCCATTCTTCACAGATGGTTTTTCCTTTGGCCTGCTCCAGCCTTGCCTTCTCTAGCTTTCTGAAGTTGCAGGATGGAGCAGAGTGGAGCCCATGGCTCTGCACCTTGGTGGAGGAGCGTTTGTCCTCACGCTCGGGCCCCAGAGCCTTGCAGGAGGCCAGGCTTGGCCCTAGGTGGCAGCCGCCACCGCGGATTCCCGCACAGGAGCCGGGCTCCAGCCCTGCCTGCCTGTGTGTCCCTCTTTCCCCAGCCTGGTACCTATAAGGGTCTCCCTCTTTCCCCACGAGGTGCCCACCTAGGTGTCCTTTCTTCCCCACGAGGTCCCTGTCTGGGTGTCCCTCCTTCCCCACAAGATGCCCGCCTGGGTGTCGCTCCTTCTCTAGGAGGTCCCAGTGTGGGCAGCAGGACACCAGCCAGCAGGGCTGAGCATGGGGCACCACCTCTGTAGTGGTTGCCCTCCCACAGGTGGTGAGGGGCGACCCTGGGCCAGGGGTCTGAGCAGATTCTGCGACCCTCGTACAACCCCCCAGCTGCCCCGTTATCCCAGCTGCTGCAGCTGTGCCTTCTCCAGCCCATCTCAGCATCCTTGGCATCCTCGTACCCCCTCGACCATCGGCCGTGGCCTGCGCAGCACGGGACTTAGCTCTGCTCCCCCACAGACCTCCTGCGCGCTCGGAGTCAYGCCGGGCTTGGCCCCAGGCAGAGACCCCTTTCCCTGCTGGCAGCTCGCATTGTCCCCAAGCTGGTGACTCCGTGGCACAGGTGACCCACCCATCATCCCTATAGCTTTGATATTTATCCCAGGCTTTCAGCCCTGACTGGGTCAGTCGTAAAGACAAGGTAAGCAGCAGTTATATCCAGCCTGGCAGATCCCCCTTACACAGAACATCTCTTTGTTCAGGTGTTGCAGTAGAAGTGGGTCAAGATCCCAACTCTGCTCAGTCCCTAAATAGGAAGCTACTTCCCTTAATTCTCCGTCACCCCATCTGCCTTCCTGCAGCTCACAGGGAAAGACACATTTCACCAGGCRGTTTGTGGTTCACCCTTCAACACAATGCTTGTTTAATTCAGTCCCCACCCCGACATTTATTTATTTATGGGCCTTCATCTCCCGCACATCTTGGCCCTGATGGACAGCATTTGTACATGTCCTTCTTATCCAGAACATGGAGCTTTGCAGCCACTTCTCTATTTACTGTAATTTTTAGCTCAGACACAACCAGAACTCCCACCCTGTCTGGGCGTCTCAGTGTAGAAAACAAGACTAAACTATTTTGGGAT